GTGGGGGGATGCTTGCTTTGGTACTGAATAAAGGTCGAGATGAGTTTATTATTAAAATATGGAAAAAAGTGATAAGGGAGAGGGATCTCTATTTAATGCGTACGGCCCTATGCTTCCATATCCTCTCTTAAGAGATTATTCTGATTTATCAGAAAAGGAAATCCTTTTCCCTTAAATAAAGGGCCTTTTTTCTGCTGAGGACTCGGATTAGAAAATTGGGGGAAAATAAGCAAGAGAAAATAAAACAGCCAATAAAGCTTAAAAAAGATGGTACTGTGTTTCTCGTTTCTGATGCATCATGTTCTTTGTGCTTTTTGCAGGGACCTTTTTCTTGACAGGGGTTTTTGTGGGTTCTTTTCTTTCTCTCTTTTTGCTACTTTTTATTGGAAGTCTCTCTCGAGAAGTTTTCTTCCCTCTTTGTATCTGCAGCTGTGAAGATAAAAGAAAAGCTCCCTCCTTTTCTGCGTGTATCTGATTCTCTATTTCTATGGGTCTTGAGCTTCTGAGTCTGCATCAACAAACGTGGAATCTCATAAAATAAATGAGCGGTCCTGGAGGTATGTCTCAGAAGGATCCGGCTATTAAGCTATTTGGCAGGAAGATTCCGGTGTCGGAATGTCAGATTCCGGCGACCTCTCCAATGCCTCCTCAGATTCCGGCCAACTCCGGAACCATGGTACATCAATACATACACATACATCCACATCAACCATTTCTGCTCCCTGCTTTTGGTTTTCATTTTCTTGGATTCACTGTGACATGGCCTCTTCGTTAATCCAAAAGGATTGTTCTCGAAGGAATGTGAATTCTGGCTTTTATTAATATATGATGTTTGACATACATATAGGTTAACATAAAGAAAATAGTTTCGTTTCCCAGGCGTGGCGTGTTCGGTTAATCTGGCCTTTTATTAAGTTCTTGTTGGTTATCGCATCATACTTATAACTTTGACCTACGTCAAATTTGGTTAACGTATGCAAAGACCGGGAAAGTAACAGTGTCTGCCTCATCTTCATATTCATTTTTGTCATGGCTTCATGAAGAACTGCAAGTTCTTCATTTTTCTTTTTGTTTCCAGAATCATGCACTTGAGTTACTGGACTATTAATCGTTGTTTCTCATGTTTCCCCCAAATTAAGAACAAGGCATCTTCTATGTGGGCTTTCAGAGGAAGATAAATGGAATATTTGTTTTTTCTGTCGCCAACTGTTTATATCTGGCCTAGTCGTCACTTCTGCAAATTAGTTCTTCTAATCCCTCCTCTAAATCTTGCCTTACTGGGTTCTAACTTCTATGGGATTGGGTCTCCTTCATAGTATCATCACAGGTTCACTAAATAATCATGACTGTCAGGTTGGAAAGTTTACGAGAATTCTTTGTTTCAGTTTTCGTTTTCTTTTTTTTTTTTTGCGCGCAAGATATGTTGAACTTAGGCTCATGTGTACGGTGAGGCAACTGTCAATCGAGACTGAGGTAATACAGAGCTAGAAATAGTCTTCTCAAAAGTTAAGGTCTGGACTCTGGTAATTGATGCATTATTGATTCAAATATTCGCAGGAGTTGAGATCTCGAGGTTATATAACATGTTGTGTAGCCAATCTTTATTCTAGTTAGATTGTCACTGATTTTGGTAAAATTTTAGGATGCTTGCAGTCGCTTGAAGAAAACAGGAGTGGGAAGAGTTTGTTCAGAAAACTCTGAGCAACAAGAGGATGCCTCTGATTTAGCGGCAAGTAAAGAAGGGTCCCAACATAATCAGCTAGAAAATGAGCCCAAAGCCTATCCCAAGACTATGGAAGATAGAATGCAAAATAGCAGCACAGATCAAGATAAGTCATTTAAGAAACCAGACAAGATTCTTCAGTGTCCACGATGCAACAGTTTGGACACAAAGTTTTGTTATTTCAATAACTACAATGTTAATCAGCCTCGACATTTCTGCAAGAACTGCCAAAGGTATTGGACTGCTGGTGGAACAATGAGGAATGTTCCAGTGGGTGCTGGGAGACGAAAGAACAAGCACCTAGCCTCTCAGTTTCGCCATATCATAGTGTCCTCTGATGGAATTTCAACCTCTAGGTTGGAAACCTCAGACTCGTCTAGTCACCAACTTATCTCATCTGCTGAATCTTCTGCTGCTTTCAGGTCTTCGGGGGCAATGGATAATGGTATTGTATTGAAATTCGGTCCAGATGCCCCTCCTCTCTGTGAATCCATGGAAACAATGCTTATTATTAGAGACCAGAAAAGGAAAGTTGATGCAGAAAATGTGAAAGAACAATCTTTATGTGGATCTTCAGTGGCGAATAGTAGTGGTTCTGAACTAGTCATGCAAAAAGAGCACGGTGTTACTAATCAGCTTAGCGCATCAAATCAAATGCAATGTTACCCTGTTCCTCCACTGTTGTTTCCCTGGAATCCAGATTGGAACAATGTTGTTTCTATGACCGCAATTCATCAATCTTCAGCGCCAATGCAGTGGTATCCAACACCGTTGATGGCAGTTCCCAGCATGTGCCCACGTGGCGTTCCTTTACATTATGCACCGCCATCATATTGGTCCGCTGGCAGCGGCACAGTCTCGATGGGCTCTAATGGTTGCCTTTCACCATCATCGTCGACAAGTAATAGCTGCTGCTCAGGCAATGGCTCTCCAACTTTGGGAAAACACTCTAGAGATGCAGTCTTGGTAGACGAGGAGAAGTCAGAGAAGTGTGTTCTGGTTCCAAAGACTCTTAGGATTGATGATCCAAATGAAGCTTTAAAAAGTCCTATATGGTCTACATTAGGTATAAAGCCTGACAAGAAGGAGTCTGAATCAGAAGTTCGTAGTTCCAAGAAATTGGAAACCGAAGGAGATGGGAAAGACCGTGTGTTGGGCGTTTCTCAAATTTTGGAAGCTAACCCAGCTGCGATCTCTAGGGCGCATGCATTCCAGGAGAGCATACAATGAGTTTTCCAGCCTCGACATTTCAAATTTTCAATATCTTGTGCATAAATTGCTGGCTTTTGATTTTCATGCAGAAAATATGTTGTGAATGCATCACAACTATGTCAAATCGATTGTAATTTTTAATATTGTACTCACACAGATTTTGATATCAAGCTTATCAGGATATGATGGTTCTTGGCATTACCACAATAATTAGCTAAGATCATCTATTGGGATCTCTTAATCATCCAATAATACATTCCATTATTTTCCATCCCCTAAAATGATTTTAAGAAAGTAGGGTTGGCTTTAGAGGACACTCTATGTGGTGTTGGTTCAATGTTTTTGATTGGTTTCCAACCTGAGAGACTAGCACTATCGAAAAAGTTGAACATGTTTCTCTCTGAGAACACTGTCTGGTGGGGGGAAAATGATCCTATTGAGACTTTTTATATGTGATGCTATGATGCGTGGCATTTAAACTAAAAAACTATCTTTACAGTGGTGGAGAATCAATTTATTATCCTTTTAGAGTTGTCTTTCTTTTATCTTTTGGGGGCAATTTTAGCTTTATCTTTTAGTTGGGTAAGGATGTCATTATCACTGGGAGTGCTTTGAAGTGCGGTTCTTAGGGGGCAAGGCTGACCATCTATTGTACAATGCACTGCCGCTTTTAGCACTTGTGCTTATCATAAAGGGCTTAAAGCCTTGATTTGAGCCTTTGCTTTTTACAGGGAAAAAGGTGCCTTTACAACACCAAGAAACAGAGATTTACCACAGGAATATATCCCTTTATGGCTCACCTCACGTCAAAAGATTAATTCAAAGAGCCCCTTTAATAAAAGCCCCTCGTTTCCCTCGTCAACTAGACAAAGCCAGGTCCTCATCCTCCAAACACTAACTTTAAACCAAGAAAAGGCACTTTTATCGAATGGAAAAGGAGGTGCAGTGGTACAGAATTATTTTCTCATAGCAGCCCTGACATGTTCATGTCTTCGCATATGAAAACGGAGCACCAACAAGGGTTTTCTACACTAATACCGATCCTTCCTAGCCTAGGATTAAGAAAAAGATTAGCTTTGGAGGCCACAGAGACAGAAGAGTGTGTTAGTTTCAGAGTCACGTGACGTGATCTAATTTTGTCATGAAAAGGGGAGGGTGCATCTATAGGGGGCAGTTTGTTCATTTTATGCAATCTCAAGCGCAAGAAAAATTTATGCAGGGGAGAGTTGATGCAGATTGAAATCAAATGTCTTGTTCTGCAAGAACATATAAGACCAAGTTGAAACAGTGTCCTAATTAGTTTCAAGTTTTCAAGCAATGGGCTCCATGTGCACTTACAATTCCCTACCTTCATTTGTTTGGCTTGCCTGATTCGGTGTCGTTTTTCATTCTTGGAGCCTGGGATTTTCCTTTTTCATTTTTTGCCCCAGAAAAGGAGATGGTATTCTTGAATCTTGGGCCACTATAATTCTGCAAATTTTATTGCTTTCGCAACGTAACTCTTGCTTCTCCTTGTATAGCAAAGTTGATATGGATTGTTTCTGATATAGCAAACACGAAGCTGTGGTGCATACTTACGGCAAAGCCAGGTCTTCATATTTTGAAGATCCGTTCATTCCCAGCTGGGGCTTTCCCTATAATGACCCTATGCATACCAGTTGATTAATTCTTCGAAATTGAGATTGCCATTCACGGAATAGGTTGCGAATTTTGGAAGACGCGTCACACAAGTTTCAACATACCTACTGTCACTAAAGCGACATTATAAGAAACTGCTTACAATTCGTGCTTTTACTGTGGAAAATTTTAGAAGAGTCATCCTATTTCAAAGACAAAAACATCAGAATCATGCAAATTGAGGTATATGTCTTCGTGGTTCTCATTGAATTCATATCCATTTTTTGATTGCATTGGCTACTTCTCTTTCAAGTATGCAGCAACCAAGCATCTTCTTCCATATATCCCCTCTTTCCCACTATATATACGCATCCAAATCCCTTCCCTGTGAGGCACACAAAAAAATTCCCAGAGTAAAAAATAATTCAGAAAGCGCCAGAACTCCGAAATGAAGATCTCATCCATCTCGATCTGCTTCTTTGTACTTGTTCCCTTCGCATTTGGTGACCTTCAGGTTGGGTTTTATAGGTCAAGTTGCCCACAAGCAGAGTCCATCGTACGACAAGTGGTGCAGAAGCGATACAGCAGCGATAATTCCATAACTGCAGCTTTGCTTCGCATGCACTTTCATGACTGTTTCGTCGGAGTAAGATGTTTCATTAATCATCCATGTTTAATCTATTCTTCAACAACAAACTGATGAGCATTATTTCCTCACCTGATGGTATCATTCTTGTTTGTTTGTTTGTTTGTTCATATATAAAGGGTTGTGATGCATCCATACTTATAGACTCCACTGGGAACAACAAATCAGAACAAGACGCGCCACCAAATAAGAGGATTCGAGGATTCAATCTGATTCATGAGGTGAAAGAAAGGCTTGAAGCTGCGTGTCCTTCCACAGTATCATGTGCAGACATCATAACGCTCGCCACCAGAGATGCCGTGGCCTTGTCTGGAGGACCCACGTACGAGGTTCCTACGGGAAGACGCGATGGGCTCGTGTCTGATTATAATGAAGTGATGAGGAATTTGCCATCACCAAATATGACCGTTTCTGAAGCTTCAGAAAATTTCGCTGCAAAGGGATTCACAAAGCAAGAAATGGTGACCCTTTTGGGTGCACACACAGTTGGGGTTGCCCACTGTGATGTGTTCAGAGATAGACTCTCAAACACTCCTGGCCCCACAATGGACCCAGCCTTGTACGTAGAGCTGGTCAACAAGTGTAAACCTGCGACGGGGAAAGAAGAGCCGTTTGTATCCTTGGACCAAGGAACACAGTTCGTGTTTGATAACCAGTTCTATGAACAGATACTTCTCAAGAGAGGCATTCTGCGGCTTGACCAGCTAATTGGATTGGATAATTCTACTAGGGGTTTCGTCTCCGATTTTGCATTCAATCGTGATAAGTTCCGCAAGAGCTTCGTGGACGCAATAATAAAGATGGCGAGTGTTGATGTTCTGGTCGGAAGTGCTGGAGAAGTTCGAAAGAATTGCAAGGTTTTCAATTAATCCACGCAAATTGAGGAATTTATATAAGGGGATCCCTCTCTTGCTCCATGAGTTTTATATATATATATATATTGCTGCAACTTAATTTGGGTTGGTTTGTCATTCCCCTGGTATTACTGATGATAATAAAATGTGTTCCTATCTCTTGGTTATATGATATAATATAGAAACTAGCTACAACTAAAAATAAGCAGCAACGTCTGGCGTGCTTCTGATTTCTTTTTCCTTTCTTCTTCACTATCATATCATAGAATGCTGAAATTTGATGATCTTCTGATGGTCGATCGCGCTATGTTTGAGATGCAACTCCATCACCAATGTTAGCACAGAAGCTACACACCATTGGAAAACCATATCTATGTGATTCATAATTCACGTTCAGGTTATATATACATATATATATATATATATATATGTATCACACAACGGATTAACAAAATAAAATTAAAAGAAACCTTATTAATGGGAGTTTTTAAAAGTTTATATTTAATTAATTGAATGAATAAATTATATTGTAATATTATTAATACACGCGTATACATTTCATTGGTCAGATGACAAGAACCCGCATAATAAAACGAGGATGCTTGACATATTAATCAATGATGGTCCTACCGTTTTCATGACTTGAAGTAATAAGCTAAATGAGTTAAAGTGTTGATCTCTGTTACTTTGTTCAGACTTGAGGAGCTCCCTGTGTCCGAGTATCGGAGTGGTAACACGCTGTTTACAAAATTATTGATCCATTTCACACGGTGCTATTTGTAGAAGGAAATTAAATAAGTAAATAATAAAGCATTATCTGACCGAGTTAAAAATTAATTATCATTGCGTTGAAATAATGGATGAAAGTGGAAGTAGAAACTGAACTCAAACGTGTTGCATGAATTGGATAAAACGCGTCTGAAAGCTGAAGGCAGCAGGGGACATTCTTAGCATCCTGCAATGCCGAGGCATTACTAAATATGTGATTAACAATTAATATTACATTTTACTATACTAATTAATTAATAATACCACCTCGTACTTCCTACGAACAACGACTAATTAATAAGCATTCCCAGTCTAGCTAGTTCCATGAATGCTGCTGAATAATATTGCTCATCACAATCATGACCAACATGCATGTTTTCTGCTCCAATTATTACCACCTGAACTTGGTTATATTAATTTCTAGCTAGCTGCTAGAGGCGTTGGAGCTAGGTTACTCAATAATGAATAATGACTAGTCTTTATGAGAATGGAATATAAATGTAAATTATGGAGTAGCAGCAGCAGCAGCAGAGTTTTTCATGATGATGTAAAAGAGAAATTAAAGTATTAAGGAATTGGTGAAGTGAGTGGGGAAAGAGGAAGCAGTGGAGGAGCACGAGAGGGGGGAGGTGGATTATATCCAAGTATATATTATGATCACGCAAATCCAAAGAAAGGTGAAACCACATTGTACAGTGTACTGGTACAAGTGTCTGATGGCCACACTGGATCAGAAGCGCCATGAAACCCCACAACATATGAATATGTTCAACAGGGGAGACACCATGTAGCATGTTTGTTATTCTTTTGGGGCACATGCATTCGGCAATATTCCCAGCTTTTCAAGCCCCTCCCCCCCGGCCCTCTATATTAACAAATCGAACCTTCTTTATTATTTAACCAAGATCTAGCCAACTCCATCACAATAATAATGCTCAATGGTGGCACAACCTTGTTATTCGATTTCTCTTCACCACCACACACACACATATATATATTAGCTCCTCATGCATGGCACAATACCATGCACGCACTGCAAAAAGCCTCCTCTGTAGTATTCTTAACGGCGCCTTTTAATAAACCAAATACTGAAACTGCTTTTAAAGACAGACTTCCCAGGAAAAGAGAGCCACTTTGACTGAATATAATGAACAAGCAAAAGAATATATATCCCACCATGTCATGTTCCTGTCGGTGATAGCAGCAAAATGTAGTAAGTAATTAAAGAGGCGTAAATAAGCCAGAGCCTTGCTTTACTCTGCTGTCGTTTAGAGATGGAAAACAATTTACGGCATCACCACAAACGAAAACCCTAATGAAGAAGGTGAAATTATCAGGATCAAGAACGATCACAGAGAGGTTTGCCATTTCTGACCTCGATCTAGAATTTAATTACTTTCTACTTTCTTAAATATGATTCCACGCACTACATGCTGTAAGTTTTTCTGGTTCATGTTTATAATGAATGAATAAAGTTTCAGGGTTCATATATAATATTGCTACCTGTCCCCTAATTTGAGGTTCTCTTGTAGTTAAATATCATAGCCTCGTTTTAATTATGTATGGCCAGTCACCACTAATTATAGGAGAGAGCTTTATAATTTAAAGCAGCTAGCACTTTTGAAATGTTTCTTTAGCCACTTAAAGTAGGCTCATAATTAAATCATGTGAACCGCAAGTTCCTTTGACTTCAGCTATTTCCGGACAAGGGAGTTAGACGCGTGCATGACCCAAAATAGATATCTCCCATTCGTGTTTCTATGATGCATTTTCAATGAAACACAACTTTAATTCAATCACGAGGATCAAAATAGAAAGACAAGTGAAAAGAAATTTGGTTATTTTATAATTCATGTGATTTATCAGTACAAATTTTTCAATGACCTGCACTTAATATGTGAAACTTCTATGTACTATGAGGCGATCATCACTAACGTGGCAGCTATTAGCTTATCACTTGCCCTCGTATTTAATTATTTATTTCAGAATATAATAACAAATTGATCACCCAATTTGTTGTACACGCAATAGACTTAAGTCTCAATTTAAGTAAAAAAAAACAAAAAATGAAGAACACAAGTTAACTCAGTATATCATGGACACAAGTTCTAAGATAATTTGTTGTTGTTGTTTAACACGACATATATAGTATGCAAAACCTATGAATTTTATGCATGAAGGGCGGATGGAACTCAGGAATCTTTTACACGTTTCAGGAATGTAAAATTAGACCAGTTTTAGAACACTCAGAAAACAATAATTAATCGTCATCCTTCAATTCGCTGTCTTAATCTGAACCTAAAATTTAGAGAAATTAACCTAGTTTTCTTAAAAATTCAGAGATTAATTAAAGCTAAGCGAGTCCCTCATTATGTTATTTGGTTTTCAGTAGTAAGCGTATATAAGTCAGTGCGCCATATGCTCGTATGTGGAATAACTTCAATTTGAAGATGGCGAAAAATTGGACCCGTTGAGAAGTTCGCTAAATGAAAAGAAGGTTTATTCAGTAGGTAAATAACTATAAAAACTGAAAACATATTGCGCACAGTTCATCATATATTTAGAAGCTTGACGTATGCGTGTCAATTTGGGATTTTAGAATTTAGATGAGAATTGAAGGGGTATTTAGTGAAAACCAAATCATGATTAGTAAGCATAAGAAGAGAGTTTTATTTCAATTTATGCAAAATCACTTTTTAAAGTGCTTTTGTTAGAATCCAAACACCCAAAGAAAAATACAGCTCCCATTCCATCTTTTACAACGTCAGATTATCTGTTTTTTTCTTACATCACTTAAATATATAGGAAGTAATTAATTAAATAAATTTCAAAGTCATAAGTCCATATGTGATGTTTATTTATTCTCCAAGTAATGTACATGTCATACAATGATGCCAAATAGTTATTGATTTCCATGGCAGCTGTAGGTGACCTTGATTTGGTATGGAACCCGATGTGCTAAATTGAAGGGAAAAAATTCAAGTCCTTGCGTTATTTTAATAGTAACTGACTTAACCATTTTTAATGTAAAATGATAAAAGAAGGAAGGAAGAAAGGAAACAAAGTTTCGACACTATACAATTAAAGCAACGAGCCTATGACCTGAAGAATATCTTTATGAAGTCATGAATCTCGCTTTGAATACGGGTTTTGTGGAATATTTCTGCGCTACCATTTAAATATCAATATATCATACCAGGAAAAAAAATAATAACACGAATTTAAATAATTTAGACGTGAAATCGAGACCATCTTTCTCTCCCTCACACACACACATAATATATATAATTAAAAAACACATATATAAATTCCATTTTATATCCAAGCGGCAAGGACTTGCCTGATCATTTGAAGCTGATGATCTTGCTTAATATCCGACGTCAGTATGTCACTGTATGAGTCCCACACGGACTCATATTCATATTACACATTTAGGTATTAATTATTTGAATTTCATCATCAAATTGATATGAAAAATTACGATTAAATTTTTAAGTCGTTATTTTGTTTTGTTTTCAATATTTAATAATTCAAATTTTGGTCTCAAATTCATTTGGGTTTAGATGGTATGGAGATTACGTACAAATAATTGGATGTCTATGTACCCCCATATAATCATATACTACCTCCGATCCTTATTATAAGAATTAGTTGATTAATTTGAATAGATTAAGAAAATTAACTAAATTAGTTATTTATAATAAATATATATTATCTTTTCTAAAATATCTTTTCTAATCAAGTGTATTAGCTGAATCTATTATTATCACAAGAACTACCTTAGAAATAAATAAACAAATATGATAGATAAAGTGAATTGAGATCTTATATTTAAGACTAAAATAAAAATCAAACAAGTTTTTTTATTAAGAACAGAAGATAGTACTTAATTTTTTCAAAAAAATACTAGGCATATTTTATCCTTTTGAATTTCTCAGCCATTGTGTGCACACGCTAATAATCAATGAGTATGCGTATATAATAAAATCCATAGCAAGTTTACATTTTATACAGTCACATGTATATCTCCACGTGTCTATGTGTAAATTGGAGTATTTGTTGAATGATAAGACAATTGGATTCTCTAATACACACACACGCTCTCTCTCTGAAGAGGTCCAGACGAAAGGACGCTGTAACACTTTGTGAGGCTTCATTAATTTAATTTTCATGTTCTCATTTTCTTTTCACCTAAATGGACATTACGTATTCATTTTTTTAAAAAGGAAAGAGGGCATGAAGGGCAA